TTTGATATTTGACAGATCTTTTTTACGAAGTATGCATAGTTCCAGAAAGTAAAATAAAATTCGCATACAAATGCTACTTACAGCGTTTGAAAGCGTGTATCTCGACCTTTAATTTGCGTACTCGATGAGCATTGTGCGATTTTTTTTACCGAGTTATTCAACATTGAATTGAAACCATTTTTGCTTCCATTTCGAATAACTCGGTGAAAAAAAATCGCACAATGCTAATCGAGCACGCAAATTAAAGGTAAAGATTCACCCTTTTGAACGCTGTAAGTCGCATTTGTATGCGATTTTTATTGCACTCTATGGAACTTCGCAAACTTAGTACAAAATTTTTAGATTTGTTGCATCTTCATTTGCATTCGTGCAGTTTTGTAAAGAATCAGTAAGTCATTTAATGAATTTTGGATTTCGAAAGTAGAGACTTCAAGCTGTAAAATGCTTTTCAGATGATTCTGTTACGATCGTTTTTGACGAAGTTACATTCTTTGAAATATGGCTGTTTTTAGCAATCAGAATAGGTGATCCTTTAATTTTGGGGAGAAGTGTATATATAACAACAAAATTATGCATAAAAATAACGTCAGAATTTGTTGCTAATTTGTTGCTCACGAAATATGTTTGTTTTTATTTAATTACTCGCAAAATAAATATAAACAGTAGCAGAAAACCTACATAGTGCCCTGCCCGTTACAAGTTCCCTTGCCCGATCCTTCCAGAATTTGTTGCTCACATGAATTCGATATAAAAACAATCTGCAAGCATCGTACTATTGGAATATAACAATTTCCGATTTTGTTGCTAACCCTAACATGTAAAAATTAAATAGTTTATCTCGGTCAACCGGGCTGCGCGCTCTAAGTTCCCTTGTCTGATCCTTTCAGAATTTGTTGCTTACATGAATTCGATGTAAAAACAATCTGCAAACATCGTACTATTGAAATATAACAATTTCCGATTTTGTTGCTAACTCTAACATGTAAAAATTAAATAGTTTATCCCGGCCGACCGCGCCACGCGCTTTAAGTTTCCTTGTCTGAACCTTTCAAAATTTGTTGCTCACATAAATTTGATATAAAAACAATCTGCAAGCATCGTTTTATTGAAATATAACAATTTCCGATTTTGTCGCTAACTCTAACATGTAAAAATTAAGTAGTTTATCCCGGCCGACCGCGCCGCGCGCTCTAAGTTCCCTTGCTCAATCCTTCTAGAATTTGTTGTTCATTTTAATATGAATAGCAACAAAATCGGAAATCGACTTATTTCGATAGTACGGTGCTTGCAGATTGTTTATATACCGAATTCATGTGAGCAACAAAAAGGATCGAGCAAGGGAACTTAGAGCGCGAGGCGCGGTTGGCCCGGATGAACTATTTAATTTTTACATGTTAGAGTTAGCAACAAAATCGGAAATTGTTATATTTCAATAGGACAATGTTTGCAGATTGTTTTTATATCGAATTCATGTGAGCAACAAATTTTGAAAGGATTAAACAAGGGAACTTAGAGCGCGCAGCGCAGTCGGCCGGAATAAACTACTTAATTTTTACATGTTAGAGTTAGCAACAAAATCGGAAATTGTTATATTTCAATAGTACGATGCTTGCAGATTGTTTTTATATCGAATTCATGTGAGCAACAAATTTTGAAAGGATTAAACAAGGGAACTTAGAGCGCGCAGCGCAGTCGGCCGGAATAAACTACTTAATTTTTACATGTTAGAGTTAGCAACAAAATCGGAAATTGTTATATTTCAATAGGACGATGCTTGCAGATTGTTTTTATATCAAATTCATGTGAGCAACAAATTCTGGAAGGATCGGGCAAAGGAACTAATTGTAACGGGCAGGGCATATTATGTAGGTTTTCTACTATTGTTTATATTTATTTTGNGAATAATTAAATC